AAAAAAAAAAAAAAAAAAAAAAAAAAAAAAAAGATGACTGTGGTAGCATATGCCTGTCAGCCCATAATCTCAGCCCTCAAGAGGCTGAAGCAAGAGGATCGTGATTTATAGATCCTGGCCAATCTACAGATTTAGCTAGACCCTGTCTCAAAAACAGGGCTGGGCTGTAGCTTAGTGCAGAGGTCTTGGGTTTGATCCCCAGTGTACTGAGGAGAAAACAAAAGCTGAGCATAGTGGTCCACAACTAGAATCCCAGCACTGGAGAGACATCCCACAGATACATAACCCTGCCTGCTGGACCTTGAGACTCAGGGTCAGGACAGGACCAAGCTCATGCAGCCAGTGAGAAAAGAGAGGCTGGCATTTATCCTGGAGAAAAAGTGCTCAGTTCCTGCTCATACCCACTATTGGTGCTAAACATCTCGGGACCTGGTGATGTGAGGGAGGCTAATGCCGAGCCAGGTGGTCTCACCTCTGGGGACGTGACGAAGGCATGGGTCTCAGGATTTGCATCATTGCGGCCTGTGAAGTTCCTGTTGTAGGAGGTGACGATTGTGTTCTTCTCCCCCTTCTTGATATCTTTTCTGTCAGGTCAGAGGAACAAGATGAGGGACCCCGGCCTGTCCTATGACCAGATGGGCCGGGTTCCTGAGGCACGAGCCCAGCTGAGCGCGAAAGGAAAGGGACCTCCCAAGACATGCACACAGTGCAGTCCTCAGGCCTCTGTGTGACTGTAGAGAGGCCAAGCCCACATCAAGGCCCAGTGTCTCCTGACCTGAGCAGCTCCCTCAGAGCCCCTTGCTGTGGCTGTCAGGATGTAGCTGCCTGGGCTTCGTCCCCCCAGCCCAAGCCTCAGCTAGGCTCTTCCTGTACTTGCAGCCCACCTACCCTGCTGTGCCTGCAGATCTTCTGTGCAGCAGCCCCTGGGAGGCCTTGGGCTCGGGTCTCTTCTCTGCCCCAGTAACATCTCCCCTCAACCTCTGGTACACAGGGGCAGTGCTGTCAAAAAGGTGGCTCTCACCTGTCCCACTGGCCAATACATGGGCCACAGGCGTTGGCCAGGACGATGCCGCCCACCTCCCTCAGGATCTGGGCCTGCACCAGGAAAGAAGACAAGAGCTGTGGGGCAAGCATATGACTGGTAGGAAGGGCAGGTCAGCCTGGCCAAACTGCCACTCTGCTGCCTCCTGCAGCCACCTTTACTCAGCAGTGGGGTGGGGAGCCAGGGCAGGTCAGGTGGCACTCACATAGCCATCTCGCTCGATGGTGGCGCGGATCTGCTCAGAGCCTGGGGTGATGGTGAACTGGGACTTGCACTTGAGTCCATGGGCCAATGCTTGTTTGGCTACAGCTGCTGAGCGCCCCATGTCCTCATAGCTTGAATTGGTGCAGCTGCCAATGAGACCTGGGGCATTGTGGGAGGTGGGGTCAGGGTCAGCACACAATGACCGGAAGTCTCTATCTCCCCTCAAACCCCAGATCTGGTCCAAAGAGTTTACCAACTGGGGTGGGCCAGGGACTTTTTTTTTGGTACTGGGGATCAAACTCAGGACCTTGTGCTTGCAAGGGAGGTGGCGGCACCACCAAGCTAAATCCCCAGCCAGTAGAGACTATTTTTAACAGAGACAAGTTGGAAGCAACCTAAGTGTCTAATAATAAAGGACCAGCTAGCTGTTTATAAACCAGTCTGAAGAGTGAAGCCACAACCACCACACTGAACACAGGCTAATAGCACAGTTCATATATGCACACTAGAGGGCGAATACTAACATTCGTGGTGATCAATGCTGACTAGAGCTGATAGGAGAGG